GGGTTAGGTTTAAGATCAGATTTTATGACTTTGTGGCTGTGCCAGCTAGTGACCACTCTGCAGAGCTGCCTCCAGGGCAAGATTCATGACAATAAATGCCAACCTGCCATTCAGGCACCCTACCCCAAAACATGTCTTGTAGGTCTGGAAGAATCTTGCCCTCTGTTAGGCCAGGTTGACATTTTCCCTATACATTATTTACCCATACCTAATCATTTCAGACCTACAAAAAGTGCATAGGGGTCCGGGCCAGGGGTTGATTTGGAATTGGGCCTATGTTTAGGATATACAGTAGAACACAACTTTGGAAACCAGGGCACCAAGGGCAATAAAGAAAAGAGGGGTTAAAGATGCGATATTCAGCAGGTCACAAGGCCCTTCATATACAATGATACTGTATATTTACAACATGTGCACTTTGAAAACTGTAAAAATTAAAAATATTTGGAAAAAAAACAGAACCAAATAAACAACATCCAAACTACAACACAATTATTATACCACAATAAATTGAAATATGTGCACCTGCACACGCACCGTTGAAACAAAAGCACTTGATACAACGTATTTGATTATTTTTGGTATGATGTTAATTAATTAGTGTATGTTAGTAATATAGACACTTGTGCCATACCATACATACGTTTCAATCCATATCTAAGGCCTAGATTCAGTCAGATCAAGCATTAACAGGCGATAGCCGACACCCGCATAGTTGGAGCTGTCAAATCGGTGAGCAGCTGCTCTTGATCATTGTCATGAATACACACCCATCCCACTCGCGTTACAAGTTCAGAACGAGAAAGCGTAAGCTATATAGAAATAATGACGCTCAAATTCAAAATCATTAAATTAAATCATGAGGATTTCTATCAGCCTAATCGAGGTGTAGATTACATCTCACATTCCAGTGTTCAAACTTCTAAACAGGACTGCATGAGATTTCTCTTTAATGTGACTCCATGCAGTCAATGGCAATGTCCGCTTTAGGTATAATGCCAGGAGCTGCTTGTAGATTTAACAGCTCTAACGAAGTTCCACCTCCGACACGTCAAAACAACCGCTATGCTGATGTCGGCTAAAGTGGATCTGATTGAATAGAGCCCTAAGAATAAATTAGCGCCTCCAATTTTTTCTTATTTCTCAGTAAAAACCAAATACAACAGAAAAGCAGAGACTGGCATGATAGAACTGTTAAGAAAAGCCTTATAGCTGTCCACAAGCTTTTCTTCTCATACAAGATATCAAATATAAAAAAGAAACACACAATAAAGCTTAGCATCCAGCACTTAATAATCATAATCATAATAATAATAACATAATATCATACTTCTGATCATCATAATAAGACATGTGATCTGCCTTACCATTTTTTTCTAATATCTTGTCACGAACATGGAAATAATCTTAAGAAAATCAACACACTAACACACACGTCCACATACACACACACACACATATACTGTGACTACAGAAGGCGTTTGACAGAGTGGAGGGAATGTCTTTATAGTATAATAATTCCACTACAAAAATGTCTGTTAATAAATAACTTTTTCAAACGAAATAAAGCGTCATAAAAGCACTCACCAGAACAGGCCACTCTCTGGGTGGACTCTCAAGCCGAAGCCGGACTTATTTTACAAACTGAAATAAACATTATCACCAAAAAGAAAGATGAACCATTCATTAAGGTTCACTAAGATGTAAAAGTGTGCATATTCTGTATTTATGGTGAAATATAAAAATTATAATAAAACAACAAAGGTTTTGAAGAAAGTCTGCTTCTAAACACGACCGCTGCACAGAGATATAACATGAGATGGAAGGTAATAGAGATGGAAGGTAAGCCATGTAGAATAGGTCCATAGTGTGCTTGTGTTGGCATGAGTTTTGACCCGTCATCATTGTGTATGTAATATGTCTCTCTCGGTCATTCTGAGAGGAAATATCTGAAGTAAAGATTTACATCTAAGTCATTAAGCAGACACCCTTATCCAGAGTGACTTACAGGAGCAATTAGGGTTAAGTGCCTTGCTCAAGGGCACGTTGACAGATTATTCACCTAGTCGGCTCAGAGATTCAAACCAGCAACCTTTCGGTTACTGGCCCAACGCTCTTAACCGCTAGGTTACCTGCCGATCTGTGTTAGAATTAAGAACACTTACATCTGGATTGATCGGTTATGTCCCTGCATAGCGTTCAATCTCACGCTCTTCTCCTCTGTCTCTCTCACACTTTCTTTCTCTCTCATATATATATATCTCTCTCATATCTGTAGCTCAGCTGGTAGAGCACGGCGCTTGTAACGCCAAGGTAGTGGGTTCGATCCCCGGGACCACCCAAACACAAAAATGTATGCACGCATGACTGTAAGTCGCTTTGGATAAAAGCGTCTGCTAAATGGCATATTATTATTATTATTATATATCTCTCTCATATGTCTCTTTCCTTCTCTCTCGCCAAGTCTCTCTCTTGCTCAATATACTATAATTATTGTGGCTTGTTTGTATGTACATTTGCGCAACCATAATTCTCATCACAGCTCAACAGAAACGCATGGTAAACTTAAGTGGCGAAAGAACCCATTGAAAGGCATAGGCAGTGGAGGCTGGTGGGAGGAGCTATAGGAGGACGGGCTCATTGTAATGGCTGGAATGGAATAAATGGAACGGTATCAAACACATCATAGATATGGAAACCACATGTTTGATTCCGTTCCATTAATTCCATTCCAGCCATTACAATGATCCTGTCCTCCTATGGCTCCTCCCACCAGCCTCCACTGGGCATAGGCTATTATAATCAGCAAACTTTGCACAAGTATTATAATATCCATATATTTATATATCATAACAGTCATGAGGACATACAGTATATCCTTAAAGGTAGGTGCGGTCACCGAGTTGTGTAGGTAAAATCAGATTAAAAATGTAAACCACGGGTTGAGGGCATTGACAGGAGTCTAGTTGACATTAAAGTGCAAGTCTGTGGCAGTTTCACTCTGCAGGAGACAATGGGCCAACCGCTGCCTGACGGATGCAACATTACAATAGATCAAATACTGTCTCAAACATGAATAGAGACTGTCCTCAAATGAATAGAGACAGTTCCCAAATGAATAGAAACGGCCCCCAAATGAATAGAGACTGTCCCCCAAATGAATAGAGACTGTCCCCCAAATGAATGAATACTGTCCCCCAAATGAATAAAGACTGTCCCCAAAATGAATAGAGACTGTCCCCAAAATGAATAGAGAATGTACCCAAATGAATAGAGACAGTTCCCAAATGAACAGAGAATGTTCCCAAATGAACAGAGACTGTTCCCAAATTAATAGAGACTGTTCCCAAATGAATAGAGACTGTCCCCCAAATAAATAGAGACTGTTCCCAAATGAATAGAGACTGTCCCCCAAATAAATAGAGACTGTTCCCAAATTAATAGAGACCCCAAATGAAAATAGACTGTCCCCCAAATTAATTGAGACTATCCCCCAAATGAATGAATACTGTCCCTCAAATGAATAAAGATTGTCCCCAAATGAATAGAGAATGTCACCAAAAGGAATAGTGACTGTGTCCCATATAAATAGACTGTCCACAAAAGGAATTAAGACTGTCCCCCAAATAAATAGAGACTGTCCCCAAAATTATTAGACTGTCCCCATAATAAGTAGAGACTGTCCCCATGTGTAGACACTGTCCCCATAATGAGTAGAGACTGTCCCCATGTGTAGACACTGTCCCCATAATGAGTAGAGACTGTCCCCAGGTATAGACACTGTCCCCATAATGAGTAGAGACTGTCCCCAGGTGTAGAGACTGTCCCCAGGTATAGACACTGTCCCCATAATGAGTAGAGACTGTCCCCAGGTATAGACACTGTCCCCATAATGAGTAGAGACTGTCCCCAGGTATAGACACTGTCCCCATAATGAGTAGAGACTGTCCCCAGGTGTAGAGACTGTCCACAGGTATAGACACTGTCCCCATAAAATGAGTAGAGACTGTCCCCAGGTATAGAGACTGTCCCCATAATGAGTAGAGACTGTCCCCAGGTGTAGACACTGTCCCCATAATGTGTAGAGACTGTCCCCAGGTGTAGAGACTGTCCCCATAATGAGTAGACTGTCCCCAGGTATAGAGACTGTCCCCATAATGAGTAGAGAATGTCCCCAGGTGTAGAGACTGTCCCCAGGTATAGACACTGTCCCCATAATGAGTAGAGACTGTCCCCAGGTGTAGACACTGTCCCCATAATGAGTAGACTGTCCCCAGGTATAGAGACTGTCCCCATAATGAGTAGAGTAGTCCCCAGGTGTAGAGACTGTCCCCAAAGTAGAGATTGTCCCCAGGTGTAGGGACTGTCCCCAGGTGTAGAGACTGTCCCCAAAGTAGAGACTGTCCCCAAATAGGACTGCATGGCAACAAGACACCACCTTGGTGTTTTCCCAAACTGTTAACAATCCGTCGTATCCATAGCAACTGTGACCACAAACAGTCATGGTTCAAAATCAGCTAAGACGTCCTCATTGGTCCCAGTGTGATGGAGGTGAACATCTAAACCAATGGACAGACTCTGGTCTGGTCCTCATCAGAAACAAACAAACCAACAAAACCAACAAAACATAATTTTTTCTCTCAATTGCTCTCTTTCCGCCATGGCAGTCATATCATCAGCACAGGGCTCAGCTTGTGTGTGTATGTGTGGTGTGTGTGTGTGTGTGTATGTGTGGTGCGTGTGTCTGTATGTGTGGTGTGTATGTGTGGTGTGTGTGTATGTGTGGTGTGTGTGTGTATGTGTGGTGCGTGTGTGTGTGTATGTGTGGTGTGTGTGTGTGTATGTGTGGTGTGTGTGTGTGTATGGCATCTGTCAAATGTTTAGATCATTGTCGCGTATCGCCCACATACCCCACTTAGAGGAAGGCCCATGTACACATGGGTAAAGAGAGCTGTGTCTGCCCAAGATCCACAATAGATCCTAAATGATCCCATAGGATCCTAAGAGATCCAGCTGAAATCCTTCTCTCCCCCGTTGTGCTGCTCCCCCTCTGGCGCAGAGGAGTCGCTCTCCTCCTTGTCATTATCCATCGCTCCGTCCCCCTCCGTCATCATCCCTGAGTCATCCTTCCACTTTCCTCCCTCCTCATCCCCCTCTCCCATCATCTCTCCATCCCCTTCCGTCATCATCTCTTCCTCCCCCTCTCCGTCGCCTTCGCACTCCACCTGGTCGTCGTGGAAACGGTGGTCGCCGGGATACAGCTCGTCCTCGGGGGACATGTCTCCGCCTGCTTCCCCGTTGTGGTCCATGCCCCGCCCAGAACAGTCAACACAGACACCATGGCGACGAGAGCCATGTTTGATTCCGACGCTGGCTGCCGACATGAAGACCCGGCTGCAGACCTTACACACATACTTCTTATCTTTACTGTGGACCTGGAGGAGAGATACACACATATCAGCACAGATGTTGGCCGAAGACTCTCTAGACGGCATTCTCTGGCATTGCAATATCATGAGAACTCAAAGCTAAGCCCAGTCATATTCCTTAATTAACCCTCCCCCCTCTTCCCCTCTCGTCTCTTCCTGACTCCTGCTGGGCTGGCCTGTAGTCTGATAGTGGATGTTTCTCTGCTCTCTGAACTCCTCTCCCCAGAGCACAGCACAGAACAGCAGCTGAGTGCTAGTACATCCTGCTCTGCTCTAGCTTTCATCTGCCTCTAACCACAGATATTAATTTCTGTGGCCTCTCCAGATTGTGTGTGTGTGTGTGTGTGTGTGTGTGTGTGTGTGTGTGTGTGTGTGTGTGTGTGTGTGCAATAGGGAAGAGACGGAGCAGGAAAAAGGGGGAGCAGGGCTAGAATGTTACTTTTAGATTTATGTTCATATATCCAGTCCTTTAAAGGGATACTGCAAGATTCTGGCAATTAAGCAGTTTCGCGAGCCTGGAAGTCTACAGGTACTTTAGCGTTTGCTACTGTACCTGTAGACTTCCAGTCCTTGTGCTAACGCTAGCTAGCATTGGCTCGCGAAACTACCTCTAACTTCCTTCACACTGCACACACAGACATACAAATTGTATCCACTAGTTAATCTGACTGGGTAAGTAGAAAACATCTTAAATGCCAAAATCTTGATTCTTGAATCTTGATTCTGTGAACAAAGAAGGTGAAGGGGCTAGCATTTCCCCCCCACATGCGTAAAGTTAGTATTAAGAGAGGATGAACTGATCCTAGACCTGGGCCTAACGGCGCTTCCTTAATTACTGCAGTGGGCTAAATCAGGGTCACACAGAGTGTTTCTTGGTAGTCAAACAAATCTACACTGAACAAAAATATAAATGTAAAGTGTTCGTCCCATGTTTCATGAGCTGAAACAAATTTGTTTACATCCCTGTTAGTGAGCATTTCTCCTTAGCCAAGATAATCCATCCACCTGACAGGTATGGGATATCAAGAAGCTGATTAAACAGCATGAGCATTACACAGGTGCACCTTGTGCTGGGGACAATAAAAAGCCACTTTAAAATCTTCAGTTTTGTCAAACAACACAATGCCACAGATGTCTCAAGTTTTGAGGGAGCGTGCAATTGTTATGCTGACTGCAGGAATGTCCACCAGAGCTGTTGTCAGAGAATTGGATGTTCATTTCTCTACCATAAACTGCCTCCAACGTCGTTTTAGAGAATTTGGCAGTACGTTTAACCGGTCTCACAACCGCAGACCACGTGTAACCACGCCTGCCCAGGACCTCCACATCCGGCTTCTTCACCTGCGGGATCGTCTGAGGGGGGGTGGTGCTGAGTCATGTGAAATCCATAGATTAGGGCCTAATGAATTTATTTCAATTTACTAATTTCCTTATATGAACGGTAACTCAGTAAAATCTTTTAAATTGTTGCATGTTGCGTTTATATTTTTTCGTTCAGTATACTTTGAAAGAAAAGTATACACCTCACACACATGGTTATTGGCTTTAAAAAATAAGACACCTGTACCATGTCAGATATAGAGTTGAAATGTATTCAATTTTGAGTTTACATCCCAATATTACACTTTATATCCATCACAGAAGACTGAAATATAATAAAACTGTTTGACATAGTAACACCGGATTTTCTGCGTTTTTTTTTAAAAAAAAATCATGTTTATTAATTATGAAATTATGAAAAATATGAATAATATTCCACACATGAGGCCACTAGGTCATTTGACTCCAGGAAGGTGCTATAGCGAACAGCATGGCAAGTGTGTGACTCAGCTCACTGCTGCATTCCGGTGGCAACTGTCTGCTACTGCACTGTACTCACCAGTGTGTGTCTCTTCATGTGCTCTCTCCTGGTGAACTTCTTGCCACAGATCTCACAGGGGTAGGGCCTCTCGCCCGTGTGGGAGCGCATGTGCCTCTTCAGGATGCACTGGTGCATGGCAGAGAAACTACAGTAGGGGCACTTAAACTTCTTACGGATCACTGTGAAGTCATTCACTGTGAAGAGAGAGAGAGAGAGAGAGAGAGAGATAAGAGAGAGGGATAGAGGAGTAGATAGAGATGAAGAAGGGGAAGAGAGTGCGAGTTAAAGTGTATAGCGAGAAGAGATAGATAGATAGAGAGAATGGGAGAGCCGAAGAGAGATGAGAGAGGAGAGAGAGAGAGAGAGAATAGTTTGCATCTATTCAGCATTAAAAGTTAAACCACAGTTAAGGCAATGTGACTTGGCAGAGTAGTTTATTTAAAAGGTTTAAAACTTCTACATTACATTTACCAGACGCTCTTATCCAGAGTGACTTACAGTTAGTGAGTGCATTCATTTTCACACTGTCCCCCGTGGGAAACGATCCCATAACCTTGGCGTTGCAAGCGCCATGCTCTACCAACTGAGCTACAGGGGACTACATCAGTTAGATGTGCAATTTGAGTGACAGGTTGAATTGATCAAAGCTTTATAAGATTACAGAGATCAAAATTCAAAAGTGGAACATTGTTTCAAGGTCGGGCAGACAGTGAGGCTTATATTAACCCACGCTGTACCAAACTAAATGCTAGGCTGGAAGTAAGTGGAAATAATGTGCGAGTGTAGATGAATACAAGAGATGATTCGTACAGTAACATGAACATGATATTCTTATGGAGACGCAATGATCATTTTCAGATGGAACTGTTAGCAGGCATAGTGTGCCTGTGATGGCCAATACAGCACGGCTTGGAACGCTGCTTGTCCAATCAGCATCCAGGATCCAAACAACCAGTTTTATAAGATACAATATCAGTACTTGTTGCATTTACAACTTGTCTAAGTCCTCTTATCAACTGATTTCAGCCAGTGTATGGCTGTGGATTGACTGCATTGTTTGAATGGAATGTTGGCCTATTGGCAGTTAATTAGACACATTTATGGAATCATTCATCTAAAACTGGCTGGCTAGCTAGCTAACAAACATACAGTGCAGACAAATTCTTCAAATTCATTATTTTACACAATATATTATCACAGCAGTGGCAAACCATGGTTGACCAACTCCCTGATCAAAATGGCTGACCTTTATCCCATCATAAGAAGGTTCATGTCCATTCTAGTATTCTAATTCCTAATTCTATGGTATTACCAACTCCGATGCCCACCTAAATGTCAGTCAAACTTAGAGTTTCCCTAGCAACTAGTCTGTCTAAATAGGAAGGTATGAATAAACTACAAACTCAAGACATTATCAACAACAACAACCAGGAACAAATCAACAATATCCTGTTTACTCCCTGTAGAAGAGGTTTCTCTTTATTCAGGATCTAGTTTATTGGATCACACAAAGAACATATCTCAGGTAGAGAGAGAGAGAGAGAGAGAGAGGAAAAGAGGTAGAGATATTACATTAGACACAGTAAGGCTTGGCTAAAGTCCTACAATAGATCTACATATCCACATTACATAATAGATCAACTCAGGATGAATTAGGTGGGGATCAATACACACGTGAGGTCAGATAAAAAATTAGGAAGAGCTAAATACGTACAAAGGTGAAGTCAGGTAAAAGGGGGAGAGAGGATAGAGAGAGATTACAACACAGCAGGGCTTGGATAATTAAGCAATAAGACCCGAGGGGGTGTGGTATATGGCCAATATCCCACGGTTAAGGGCTGTTCTTATGCACAACGCAATGCGGAGTGCCTGGATACAGCCCTTAGCCGTGGTATATTGGCCATATACCACAAAACCGAGGTGCCTTCAAATCAAATCAAATCTAATTGTATTTGCCACATGCGCCGAATACAACAGGTGTAGACATTACAGTGAAATGCTTACTTACAAGCCCATAACCAACAATGTTATGCAAATAGTCCGGGAAGCCATGATTAGCTGTTCAGGAGTCTTATGGCTTGGGGGTAGAAGCTGTTAAGAACCCTTTTGGACCTAGACTTGGCGCTCCGGTACAGCTTGCCGTGCGGTAGCAGAGAGAACAGACTAGGGTGGCTGAAGTATTTGATAATTTTTAGGGCCTTCCTCTGACACCGCCTGGTATAGAGGTCCTGGATGGCAGGAAGCTTGGCCCCAGTGATGTACTGGGCCGTACGCACTACCCTCTGTAGTGCCTTGCGGTCGGAGGTCGAGCAGTTGCCATACCAGGCGGTGATGCAACCAGTCAGGATGCTCTCGATGGTGCAGCTGTATAACTTTTTGAGGATCTGTGGACCCATGCCAAATCTTTTCATTCTCCTGAGGGGGAATATGCTTTGTCGTGCCCTTATCACGAATTGTCTTGGTGTGTTTGGACCATGATAGTTTGTTGGTGATGTGGACACCAAGGAACTTGAAGCTCTCAACCTGTTCCACTACAGCCCTGTCGATGAGAATAGGGGCGTGCTCAGTCCTCTTTTTTTCCCCTGTAGTCCACAATCATCTCCTTTGTCTTGAGCACGTTGAGGGAGAGGTTGTTATCCTGGCACCACACGGCCAGGTCTCTGACCTCCTCCCTGTCTCATCGTTGTCGGTGATCAGGCCTATCACTGTTCTGTCGTCGGCGAACTTAATGATGGTGTTGGAGTCGTGCCTGGCCATGCAGTCATGGGTGAACAGGGAGTACAGGAGGAGACTGAGCACGCACCCCTGAGGGGCCCCCATGTTGAGGATCAGCATGGCAAATGTGTTGTCACCTTATTGCTATTGTAACGACCCTGGGTTTATAAGCGTGGATATCGACTCTGCCACGCGAGCATGCACAGTCGATGGGGCGCTGGACTTCGGCTAGAAAGTTGAGGGTTCGAGACCTGCTCCCTGCCTGTTTCATTACATTGGTGTCAGAAGTGATCGCACCTTGCATCCACGAATGTGCGTGTGCTTGGCCGGTGAGCGCGTTCCTGTAAGATGTTGAGTTGTGAGCTAGCGCGGGGACGCGCACTTTGAAAGGAGGGAGTTGTGTAACAACTCTGGGTTTATAAGCGTGGATATCGACTCTGCCACGTGAGCATGCTTTTGGGGCACAGTCGATGGCGCGCTGGACTTCGGGCTAGAAGGTTGAGGGATCGAGACCTGCTCCCTGCCTGTTTCATTACACTATTATAAACTGGTTACCAACGTTATTAGAACAGTAAAAATAAATGTTTTGTCATACCCATAGTATACGGTCTGATATACCACAGCTATCAGCCAATCAGCATTCAGGGCTTAAACCACCCAGTTTATAAAGGGGTTAATAAACTGGGTGGTTCGAGCCCTGAATGCTGATTGGCTGACAGAACATGACAAAACATTTATTCTTGTATGTTCTATTTTTGAGCTGCTTTTGAAAACAAAAGTCGAATTGAAAACATTATTGGCATTGCTGAATTTGATTTTCATAATATCAAGCTAGGATGAGGGTTTGGTTAGCTTGATTTATTTATTATTATAAGCTAGCAAGTATGTTTGTTTGGTTACCATGGCAACTTCTGTAGCTGTCTAGCTAGCTAGTAAACTTGCTAGCTACTTTAGTGGATGTTGTCCCATTTCTACTGGCACATTAATAAATTTATAGCGGCAAATATGTTAATTTATAGCCCAGGTATAAAGGGGATAATCAACTCAGGGCTCTATGCGTTCTCTTGAAAATAATGCACGGAAGGTTAGTTCCACTCCGCTAAAACCACACCTTCCACATCGTGCATTATTTTCCAGTGAACGCATAACCCCTCGTTGATTATCCTTACATGATAGCTCTACATCGCCACATTATATACAGTAAGAGGTAAACCACAGGAGGAGTCAGGTACTAATGAGATCAACACATGTCGAGGACTTGCTGGATATTTACAGAGGTGAAGTCAGGTAAAAGGGGGACAGGACACACACATAGGGTTGCCATATTGAAAGATCCTGGAACCCTACACACACATAGTATAAACAGGGCAGTAAAACCACACTGCTGTTATTCAGCTTTTACAGCCTCCACTAAGCCCATTAGATCAAAGTCTGGACTCCACGAAAGGCTAAGTAGATGCTCAAGCAGACGTGTGTGCGTGCGTGTGTGTCTTATCCGGATTTTGACTATATGTAGCAGGGCAAGAAGCTTAATATATTGGTTGAGAAGAACACCCAATCAACATGACACACAGGCTGTTTACCTGACATAAACGGAATGTGGATTAGAAAGAATGGAGAGTATGAACACAACGCTTCATCCAGCCTCACACTGTTATGCCTGACTTCGTTGGGAAACATGGGCGTAACTCAAAGTTTCATACAGATCCTGCATATGTGTCAATGGGAAATTTGCACAAAATGTCCTCAAGTCATAAGACCCAGATTGATTGTTCAACCTGACTCACTCTGCCAATGTGGAATCATGGTAGGGGGAATTAAAGTAAGAACATAGTCTATATCTACAACCAAAATAATGCTTTTTACATACTCATACAGTATGCACATATATACACTGCTCAAAAAAATAAAGGGAACACTTAAACAACACAATGTAACTCCAAGTCAATCACACTTCTGTGAAATCAAACTGTCCACTTAGGAAGCAACACTGATTGACAATAAATGTCACATGCTGTTGTGCAAATGGAATAGACTACAGGTGGAAATTATAGGCAATTAGCAAGGCACCCCCAATAAAGGAGTGGTTCTGCAGGTGGTGACCATGCTTCCTGGCTGATGTTTTGGTGGCGGTGCTTTCACTCTAGTGGTAGCATGAGACGGAGTCTACAACCCACACAAGTGGCTCAGGTAGTGCAGCTCATCCAGGATAGCACATCAATGCGAGCTGTGGCAAGAAGGTTTGCTGTGTCTGTCAGCGTAGTGTCCAGAGCATGGAGGCGCTACCAGGAGACAGGCCAGTACATCAGGAGACGTGGAGGAGGCCGTAGGAGGGCAACAACCCAGCAGCAGGACCGCTACCTACGCCTTTGTGCAAGGAGGAGCAGGAGGAGCACTGCCAGAGCCCTGCAAAATGACCTCCAGCAGGCCACAAATGTGCATGTGTCTGCTCAAACGGTCAGAAACAGACTCCAAGAGGGTGGTATGAGGGCCCGACGTCCACAGGTGGGGGTTATGCTTACAGCCCAACACCGTGCAGGACGTTTGGCATTTGCCAGAGAACACCAAGATTGGCAAATTCGCCACTGGCGCCCTGTGCTCTTCACAGATGAAAGCATGTTCACACTGAGCACATGTGACAGACGTGACAGAGTCTGGAGACGCCGTGGAGCACGTTCTGCTGCCTGCAACATCCTCCAGCATGACCAGTTTGGCGGTGGGTCAGTCATGGTGTGGGGTGGCATTTCTTTGGGGGGCCGCACAGCCCTCCATGTGCTCGCCAGAGGTAGCCTGACTGCCATTAGGTACCGAGATGAGATCCTCAGACCCCTTGTGAGACCATATGCTGGTGCGGTTGGCCCTGGGTTCCTCCTAATGCAAGACAATGCTAGACCTCATGTGGCTGGAGTGTGTCAGCAGTTCCTGCAAGAGGAAGGCATTGATGCTATGGACTGGCCCGCCCGTTCCCCAGACCTGAATCCAATTGAGCACATCTGGGACATCATGTCTCACTCCATCCACCAACGCCACGTTGCACCACAGACTGTCCAGGAGTTGGCGGATGCTTTAGTCCAGGTCTGGGAGGAGATCCCTCAGGAGACCATCCGCCACCTCATCAGGAGCATGCCCAGGCGTTGTAGGGAGGTCATACAGGCACATGAAGGCCACACACACTACTGAGCCTCATTTTGACTTGTTTTAAGGACATTACATCAAAGTTGGATCAGTCTGTAGTGTGGTTTTCCACTTTAATTTTGAGTGTGACTCCAAATCCAGACCTCCATGGGTTGATAAATGTGATTTCCATTGATCATTTTTGTGTGATTTTGTTGTCAGCACATTCAACTATGTAAAGAAAAAAGTATTTAATACGATTATTTCATTCATTCAGATCTAGGATGTGTTATTTTAGTGTTCCCTTAATTTTTTTGAGCAGTGTATTACGTACCTGGTTAGACAATTTAGGAAAGGAAAAAGTATGTGTATAAAATGCATGACTTTATATAGTATGTGTGTACAGTATATTTCTACATTACTACAGCACACAAACACAACAACAAAATAATCAACCTCCCAATGGGTTTTCGTTCACAGTTTATTGATTACAGAATACAAACTACCCTAGAAATTGCGTCAAACTTTACACAAATACATATTGATATATGATATTTGGAATTAAAAGATAAAAAAACACAGTCTAAAATGCACTGTATTTTTGCCCTAAGAATTTACTAAAGAAAATCCCAATATTGCAACCGAAATCCGCCTCATTGGCTCTTTATAAAAATGGATAATAGCATCTGGCTCCTAACCAGTCTGGTTCCACATGAGAGGAGCCTAGCCTGCTTTCCTGTTTTGACCATAGGCCAGAACAGTCATTCTCTCTGAGGCCAGCTCAGGGACGAGTTCCTTAAACAAGATGACAAGTTCCACTTAACATGTTGGTCTATTCTCATACCTGGTTATGTGGAAAATACCAAAATGACATACGGGGCACGTCTCAAATGACACCCCAGAGCACACTACTTTTGACAAGTCATAATGGTTGAGGCATTGAATTAGGAATTAGAATACTTTAATAATTGAATAGGATCTCTATAGGGTGAAGCCCCTAAGGTTCCATGGAAGGGGCCTCTTCCCTTTGAGTAATATTCACAGTATGGGCACAAACAGGACACACATTGACCTGGACTGACAAACACAGCTTTAGATTGTCATTGCCCTTTGGGGTTTGACACCCGGCTTGCTGTTTGATTGAATGAGTGGTTGGTTGATTGGTTAATTGGTTGATGCACTTCCATAAAATTAGGACATGACAGCTAATTTCCCTATGCAACTGTACTACTGTCACATCAAACAGACAGAAAATACACTTTCTCCCTCAGAATGAGGAAGTGGAGGGGGGCTATTTTAGGAGTCCTAGCTCTCAGAGAGTAGCGTTTGTGGCGAGACAGCATTTTCGTCAGACCACTCAAACACTGTGACACGTTTGTCCTTAAGGACTGCCAGACAGAGTGAGAGAGAGAGAGCTTTGTGGTTCTATAATTCAGTTACTGAAATAGCATCAATCCAACAACCAAATTATACATGCAAAACGCCTTCAACGCACCTTGTTTTCATGCAGTAACAAGCAGGAGGAAGACAAGCAGTCTATAAGGAATTCAATTTAATATACAGTAAGTGATAGGTTTGTCCTAGTTCTCAGTCCCACCCTGCCATCCACAACTATTACTCCCTGTCTGTCTTCTATCTCCCTCCCCAATCGTCTGTCTCTCTGTCTCTCTGTCTCTCTCTCTCCACTCCTCTTTCCACCTATCCCTCTCCAATCCTCCCCCTTCCTCTCCAATCCTCCCCCTTCCTCTCCAATCCTCCCCCTTCCTCTCCAATCCTCCCCCTTCCTCCCGGACTTTCCACTCGTTCCTATGACATCAGAGAGGTCATGGCCCTCCTCTGCCCAATTCCTCTTATGTTAGTGTTATCTGGGATGCTTGGGATGTCCTTACCATAACCCTAACTTTAACCCTTACCGTAACCATTTTACATTTCAACTTCAATAGGGTAACGTCTGAGTTGGACGTCCCAAGGATCCCAGGTAACAATGACCCTTCCTCTTTACTTGAGGGGTCGTAGGTCAGTCAGGGCTGGAGCTGAGAAGAGCCAATTACTATTCTCCTTCAGCTGGGTTTATGGAGGGGGTTAGGAGGATTGGGGTCAGCGCACAGAGAGAAAGGGACTTGAAACAACTCTAACCCTAACCCCACCCCAACCCCCCGCCAGTGTGTCTCTATTGTTTTAAGTGGCTTGGTACTCCTTTCATCTCCACTGATCTAAAAACAACACAGGTCAACACAGGACGGATGTAGGAAAACATGTAAAATGCCCTTCACAGACACCTTCTTTCACCAGTCAACTTATTTCATATCAAAGCAGATAAAGGAGAGGAACAACTTGTGCCAAAACATAGAGCGATACCTTTCCTCAAATCCAACTAGGCATACTTCAGTGCAAGACAATTTGGGTGAACATTACCCCCTAAGGGCTGTTGTATGTGTCACATTTGAAGTTATTGTAGGCCTGCTCTGAATGTATGACGGCCCTCTGTTTTTACATCTGAGATGTGTTGTCTCAATGAGACTTCCTGATTTGAATAAAAGTTAAAAACAGATTATTGTAGCATTGTTTCAGACTGGATAGGGTTATGGTACTCTGCTACCAGAGCCAACCTCTGATGTTAGTGTACTGTATCAACGCTGACAGTGAATGTGTAGTACATAGGATTACCTGCAGGAGGTGCTGATGTGTGGTGGCTAGGGGTCAGTTTATGAGCAGTTTTAGTTGGACGTAAAGAGTAGGAGATACACATCTCCCCGCCTAATATGGAGAAGAGAGCTTCAGCTGAGCCCTGACTGGTGACACAAAGGGAGACAGGGGGCTTGGGGATAGAATAAACACCCCAAGCACCAAAGTAGAAGAAAAAAGGTTCCGCTATACACTCCACTAAGGTCCGTTTTGTGCTTTCCCCCCTAATGGTTACGATGAGGATTTAACAAAGGTAAGCTGATTCTAGACCTGATTCTACCTAGAGCTATTTCCAACAACAGCACCAACAATGCGATATGAGCACCCCTGATCATTCAATCAATGCACTCCATAAACAAGTGACAGCTGTACAGAATGACAAACAGACAGACAAACAGACACATATTATTGATACATAATAAAACAAAGCTGGAACTCAGGTGAGCCGTTACAGTACATGTTCACTGGTCACTTTGCATAGCAATTGTGGTTTTTAAAAAGATGCCTAAAGGCTTCTCAGAAATA